TATCTCTAAAGAAATTTGCCTCCTCAACTCCCGCGTCCCCGGGCTCATTAAACTCAATATCGGGATAAACTTATCACCAAAATCACCCGCAAAGAAAGCTCTACTCTTGTGTCTACCCTTCTGACTATGACATGGGCTCTTATCCATGTATAATCTCTGAAATTAGAATAATACGAGGAGTTACTATCACTATTTCAAAAGTAGAATTGCTCTTAACATCCCTAGAGACAAGTATACTCAAAAACTTTTACTGAATCTGACCTGCGAGCCCTAGAAACGTCTAAACCTAATGCTTTAATACCACTAAATATAACACCCTAAACCAGTACGACACAGTCGACCGATAAGAATGCCACACAGGACCACCGAAGTGGCTAACCAATTTTTTTTCTTTAATTTCTCAATTTAAAACGACCATTTATAAATACTCATGTTAAGATAAATCAACCATAATTTAAATAAAATAATTTACCTCAGGAGCTCCCAAAAAAATAATAATTCAAATCATACAGACCATCGTTTAAAATAAGTTACGACTCGAATATATAAAATGAGTTTACAATTATATATGCCCTCTAAAGATGAACTCGAGAAGTATTCTGCACTAGACTGATCTGGATCATTGCTGGCAAAAAGGGTCATCTGACTGCTCCTCGACTAATCTGCATAAGGAAACAGATTCCAAACACTGAGCTAATTACCCAATGCCACACTAACAATCATACTAAAAGTGTTCATGTCATGCTCAAACTAAATAAATAACTGCAATAGTGAGTATACTCGCATACTTCACTATCTACTATGTGGTAGTCATCGTGGTACGACTGAGGGTTCTACATCTCAGAGCTCACGTACCCCTCTAGTCTACCGAGGATGATTACCCGAAATCTCTACACCGATCAACACCCTCAACTAACCCACCCCTCGCGATTGTCGAACTTCAGCCCTAGCTGGTCAGTTTAAAGTGCCTCACACACTACCTAAGGATACTCGGACTAATTCTATACTTCGACATCATAATCTTACTAAAAGGGCTCAGGTGTCCTGTTTGTTTCCCAAGCATCAATCAAGGCTAGTTTTATGTCCCTTAATTTATCTCGTTTCTAAATGTAATTAAGCATTATTATTGTACCCACTTAACGTTTTATTGGAAGTTTACCCAATTTGAAGCATATAAGTCAACGACTATCCATATACCATTCTATGCTTATTTGGTTAAATTCAGGATGGGGTTTTGAAACCTACTGTAGAGGTTTCAAACCATAGTAATTTTTTTTAGGGTATGGACAGGGGTTTCAAAACCTTCTGTAGAGGTTTTGAAACCTTTGTGAAAATTTACATTATGGATAAACGGTTTCAGAACCAACCATAGGGGGTTTCGAAACCTCTTATGTAACTTCAAATTTTCACATGTTTAAACACTTCAAAACCTTTACAAAACCATTCCAACATTTCTAATCGATCAATATAAGTTTAAACATGATAGAATGGGTCATAAAGAGCTTAAAACAAGTTAAATAACATCAAATGCTAGAATTTACCATGAATGATCATACAAGCTTCCCAACTTAAAATTTCTAGGAAATGTATTACCTTGAATATTTGGTTTGCTAGGAAAGTCCTCAAATTACTCAAGAAACAATTTCTTTTTTTCCTTTGCCCTTGAGCTTTCCCTAACTTCTTTCACTAATCAAAAGTAAGGAAATGGGATCATTAACTTAACTAGGTATATAGACTAAAGATAAAGACACTTCCTATCACTTGAATCCATCAAACCACTTAGAATCTAAGGATTATCTTAAACCTCACAAAAACCCATTTTTGTAAGCTAAAAGAAAAACTTGGAAAATAGGGCTTGAAAGGTTGCTCATGGATTGATGATTAATAATCATAGCTTATTCCAACCCAACTAAGCTTGAAACCTTTGAATTCTTTCCTTGAAGAAGGAAGGAGAAGAGAAGAAAAATGAGGTAAAAGATGAGTGTTTAGTGAGTTTAAAAATGAGGTGTAGTTTATGTGAAAATCATATTATTGGGATGGGATTTTCAGTTTTCAACTAAAAAGGGAATTTTTCACTTTTAGACCCTCAACTTTCTATTTCATAAAATACTTATCACCAACCATTAAAACTCTTGGGCCCAACTCGAGCTCACTAACACTAAACTTGATCCAACTATTTTATAAGATCTTTCGCATTCAATCTTTGGGTCTCTGGTTGACCCGAACTACTACCCCGAAATTTGTGACGTTATGAAAGGAATAAAAGAGTTGTGGAAAAACTTACTCACAAAATTCTTACCCTTTTTTCAAACAACAAACAAATGTTAAAAAGGGAAGAAGAGCTAGTTGAATCCAGTGGCGGATCTAGAAATTAAAAAATGGAGGTCCAAAATTTTTATATTTTATTCTAAAAATTTTGGGTTTGCAAATTTTTTTATTTTTTTCTAATCTCATTAACAAATTAAACCAAATTTAACATTTTTCTCAAAATAATGAGGGGCAGTCTCTCCCAGGTAGCCACATACATCCCCCGGTTGAATCAATACTTTGCTGGACTCTTTCTTAAAGAAAATTGCATTAATCATATGTCATTACTTCCCAAACTTTAAGGAAAAATATTAAAAAAGATTATTAAGATTTATATATTAAGGAGTTAGATTCAAGTTGAAGCAAGGAGGATGCAGTTAAGGGACAATTTGTAGCATATGGCAGGTTATTGGTTGAGTTAAAAGTAAAAGACAATCAAATTGAGATATAAAAAGACGAAATCTTATGTGTTCATTTTTCTTTTGGAACGTTAGGTTTGGGAAGACGGAGATTGGCTACTCTTATTCCTCAATTGGACCACCTGTCTTATCTCTATCTTCTTGCTCATTAGAATAATGAAAAGAGTAAAGTACTCAAATGACCCGTACTATAGGGTGATATTTGGTTGGGTTATCCAACTATTAAAAGTTATGAAATGGTCCCTTAACTATAAGACACTGCTTTATTGAGTCACCCAACTATTAATAGTTACAAAATGGTCAATTGACTATTCATATATTCCAAATTCGTATTTTTCTGTTAAAAAATGACAACAATCTATGCTGGATGTTAACATGTTGAATGTGATATGATAAAATATGATCTCAAAATCACAAACGACTATCATATTTCAGTCAACATATTAACTTCAAATTCAGATTGTCATTCATTTTTAAAGAAAAAAGAATGAGTTTGGAACATATGAATAGCCGGGTGACCATTTTGTAACTTTTAATAGTCGAGATACTCACCAAAGTAATATCCTATAATCACAAGACTCAATAAAGCAACTTCCTATAGTCAAGGGATTATTTATGTACTTTACCCTAATAAAATAAGGTTGCAAAATAGATTCATTTTGGGTCGTTTCTTTTATAATTTTATGCAATAAAATTACTTTTACAAAAAAAAATCATCAAATTTAATGATATTACTATTATACCATATGGGTAAATTGATCAAATTAAGTCTTAGGTTTAATATTTACTAACAAGATAAAAAAACCTTAATCCTAATCTCTCAATATTGATAGAGAAACAAGTTGCCCTAAAGCATCAGAACTGTTGAGTAAAATGAAAGGAACTTCATAACTAACCCAAGAAACTAATAATTATGTTTTTTTTAATAATAAACAAATTACATAATACGAAAATTAGTCCCTTATTATTTATTAAACTGGTCATTGTCTATTTTTTTTTGGAGTGTTTTACTCCTAATATTTTATTTTAGGATAAAAAAACTCTTAACATTTAATAAAATAATCGTTTTATACCTTTTTTTTGAAACATTTTAGCCATCAACGTTTCATTTTATGTTAAAAAAAACTCATATTTTGGAGTTTTAATCGTATCTTAACTAATGTTTTTAATCTATATAGGGAGTTTTTTTGCCTTAAAATTAAATGTTAGGGCCAAGATATTCTAAAAAAGAATAAGAGCCAAAATGATCATTTTGATCAATGTTGAGGGTTATTTTTGGCATTACGCCTAAATAAATAAGAAAAATGAAACTAAATGCGTGTATGGAACCTTTTCCGACAGTAAGAATAAAAATTTAAAGTAAGTTTCACGTGCGACAGTCTTAATATACGGTTAAAGAAAGATGTTACTGGTTTTATTTTTATTTTTTTAATAAAATCGGTAAAAAATTACCTAAAACATTATTATTTCTATCGATTTTTTTATTATAGGGTGCTTTCTCAGTTTTGTTAACATATCCGGTAAAACGTTACCAGTTTTGTTATTTTTTCTACTAATTTTGTTATTATTAGACACTTTACCGGAAATGTTAAAAAACATTGATGTTTTAAGTATAAATAATAACGTTTTAGATAATTTTTTATCGATTTTGTTAAAAAAATAATAACAAAATTAATAACATATTCGATTAATCGTATATTAAATTTATTGCACGTACAACTACCAAAAAAATTAGGAAACATTTTTTATGCAATATTATCAGATTTGGTCAATTACATACATTGTTAAATATATTAAATATAAATATGATAAAAATGTTCAAAAGTATTGTACAATTCTATTAATTACATACTTGAATTATAACTCTCTTTAACTGTCCCATCGGATTTATTACAATAATTACCCTCTAAAAACGTTAAAAAAGAATACGCATGCACACCATAAATCTAGTACTGTATATTAATATTATGGAATCATATTAAAAAATATATATTTTAACATATAATAGATTTTTAAAATTAATAATGAAGCAAATTAAATAAATTTTATAAAATTTGAAAAGAAGAATAGTCCAACACAGCACATCTCCTTTGAACATTAATGATTGAGCATATCCACCTGTCTAAAGACCAATAAATAAAGTGTAAAACTGTATACTGAAAATAGGAAACCATAAAGTAGAGGAAAAAATAGAAGAAAAAGAAAAAGCTAACTTCTCTCTCCACTCCACCTTCGCTCTATACTTCTACGGCTGCCATTAACGCGTATCTCCACTGCTTCAAGTACTCCAGATCTCAACTCTCTCAAGAACTCAACTCCTTCACTACCCAGATCTCTCTTTTTTCTATTTCTTTCTTTCTTGGTTTCGGTTTTGTATTCGGATTCTCAAAAGATAATGGAGTCGGAGCAGCACTTGAAGCGGAAGAGAACGTACAGGCCTTACTCCCGAGCTCAGTTTTTGTCTCTCAGGTCCTTCATATTGTGCCTTTCTTTCTTCGCTTTCCTCATGTTCTTGTCCTCCGAATGGTTCCCAATCCGAACGGTGTCGTTCCACCCCGTTCTCACCGTCCCAAGCATTTCAATCCTGTCCAAAACTTCCTTTCAAGATTCTTTTCATGGTAAACTAAGGCTGCCTTTGAGAGTTGATGACCGTGTTTTGTTCCCCGATCACTTGCTCTTGCTTGTATCCGACAAGATCCATGAGGATGACAAGTTGGACTGTGTTTACCACAAAGTTTTGAATGACAAGGATGTCGTTCGTCGAAGGGTTTTGTCTGTTGACGAATTCGATGGGTTTCGATCGGTTGTTAGGTGCCCTATTCCTCCTTGGAATTACACGGCTGCCGCGGGTTTGATGTGGAGAGGAGATGAGGTTGATGATTATGGGTGGTCTTTCAGGAGTAATCGGACGGTTCATTCATGGGACAGATTGGTTTATGAAGCGGCATTTGATGGGAAAACCGCCGTTGTTTTCTCTAAAGGGTTGAATCTTCGACCGCATAAAGAATCCGATCCTACTAGGTTCATGTGCCAATTTGGTTTGAAGAACCGGGATGATCAAGAAGATAGAGGGTTTGTGGTAATGACTGGAGCAATAGTGGCTGCTCAAGAGGTTGTTAGGTGTTCATTGCCGAGGAGTATAAGAAATAATCCGGATTCCGCCCAGGGAATTCGAGTTACTATTGTACATCACCCAATGCCATCGGCAGCTAGAACTCGCAATTCCAGATCCTATCAGCACGGGAGGAATCAGAGAAGGCATAAGGAGAATGTACCTATGCCTTCTGTGGCTAAACTATACAATCCTACTTCCCACCAGACAAAAAGGAACCAGGGGAAATTCGAGCTCTGCGCCTGCACTATGCTCTGGAACCAAGCACCGGCACTGCAGGAGTGGATTATGTACCATGCCTGGCTCGGAGTTGAACGCTGGTTCATTTATGACAATAACAGTGATGATAGAATTCAAGAAGTTGTCGAAGAACTTGATTTTCAAGACTATAATGTTAGCAGACATACCTGGCCATGGATTAAAACTCAAGAAGCAGGGTTTTCACACTGCGCTTTGAGAGCAAGAAATGAGTGCAAATGGGTAGGATTCTTCGATGTCGATGAGTTCTACTACTTCCCTTATCATCACAGGAGAGGTTTACGGGGTCAGAACTTACTAAGATCCCTAGTAGCAAATTATTCTTGGTCACCTACGGTTGCAGAGATACGAACAGCTTGTCACAGCTTTGGACCATCTGGATTGAGCTCACCTCCATTGCAAGGAGTAACTGTAGGTTACACTTGCCGGCTCCAAAGCCCTGAGCGACACAAGTCCATCGTGCGCCCTGATTTTCTCAACGAAACTCTTCTCAATGTGGTGCACCATTTTCAGCTAAAAAAGGGATTCAGGTACCTGAATGTTCCAGAAAGTTCTATCATAATAAACCATTACAAGTACCAGGTATGGAAGACCTTTAGAGCAAAGTTCTTCAGAAGGGTAGCAACTTATGTTGTTGACTGGCAAGAAAACCAAAACCAAGGGTCGAAGGACAGAGCCCCAGGGCTTGGAACCGAGGCCATTGAACCACCGAATTGGCGAAAACAGTTCTGTGAAGTGTGGGACACCGGTCTGAGAGACTTTGTCCTTGCAAATTTAGCTGATCCTGCCACTGGAACCTTACCCTGGGAGAAGCCTCTTCTGTAACAAGACCAAATACGGTTGCTCCCAAGCTTGGTGCCCACGGAAAACACAGTAATGACCACGACAAAATACATTCTTTCCATTTTTCTTTGGTATTTTTATCTGATTTTTTTAGATATGAGATCAATTGATTATAGGTTCTTAACACAGCTGTAAATTTTGTGATGATGAAATAACATTTTTTCCCATCTCTTTCATCTCTATGCTAGCTAAGGAGTGTGGTATTGATGATTTCTACCATGGTTATTTCTGCTAATGTGGCTAATTATACATCATGTTTCCCTACAAGTAAGATTGCCTAGACTAGGAGACTACTTCAAACAGTTCAATGAATTTAAGGGGAACAATTCAGATAAAGGAAAGTAGGAAAAGCTCATAGTTCTATTTTATTAATAAGAATGGGATGAAGAACTGAATGCATGATGTAAAATGTTACAAATATCTTGAAGTACAACATAACCACGCATAGCTTGTTCATTAGTAACTTCATGTAAGCTGGAGAACTGAACTGCCAATTTCGGAAGTTAAGCAACAAGCAACTCTAGTACTTGGTCTTGCATGAGAAAGTCAAATACGGTTATGTGTCTGAGTGTCTCATGTGAGTGTGTTCAATTATTTTTTTTTTGAAGTTTTTTAACATGTTTGGAGAGATATTCACGTAGCTATGTGTCGATATAAGTTGGACAAGTGTAAAATGTGAGTACCTCCAAAAATGAAGAACTGGTTCAACATAGATATGCAGAGGATATATATGTATTCATACACGGCCTAAAGGCACATTATCTACAGCTAAAAACATGTCATTGCGTGTTCTACGGGAATACTAAGCATATGTATTTTCTTTATAAAAGAGATTTTCAAATGCATATTCGAGAATGTTTCAACTTTCAATGCCAAGCATTAGACATTTAGCAATGTAATATAAATATTTTCAGAGAACAGAGCAAAATTGAATTATCAATTACATGGTAACGTGTAAGGCCCTGCATCTGGATATCTTCTGTCCTTGGTTTCAAGAAACATCGCCTGGAGAACCTAAAAATCTGAAAACAAGAACAAAAAACCCTCAAATTCAGAGAGTCTGAGGGAGAATAAAATCCACAAAGTAAATAAAACAAACAACCAAAATAGCATATTATAGAATCTCAAAGGATAGACCAAAAGAGCATGCAGTTTATATTTCAGGTGTAGAGTTGTTGAGCAGGATCGCTATAAGTGACCCGAAAGGCTGCCAATATTGCAGTCAATCCAAGCTTATCCCATGCCCATCTCGCATAGCAATAATCCAACTTATAGCATAGACAGGCAAGCATACCAAACATTACACTGTCATTGAAAGCATGACTGAAACTACAATCAATCTTTGTATTGTCATCTTAATCATTATTTTGGCTAAATGATATCTGCAGTTTACACATGGCATGAAAACCGGATGTTTTTTTCACCAAGTTTAAATATTCAGATACCAAATACAATCAAATTGTCCTTAAGAATATCATGCTACTGTTCTCATGTTACGTGCATCTATTAAGATATATGATTAATTAGTTGGTCTCATCGACAATTGAACAGTCTCATTAAAGTTAGAGAGGAAATTTTGAGTGATATATAGAGGTAAAAGAAGGGCAGTATGTGATCTTGGATTGTTATCGTTGGTGTTTACGGGAAGAACATCCAAAAATTTCTTCAACACTCTAGAAAGGTGTCATGAATGAAAGAGAAGACAAAGACGAGGAGTTCAGAATCGAAGCGAGAGAATTGGGGGGAATGAAAGAGGGATTAGGGATTGTGAAAAGAGGAATCGGGGAATTAGGGATTTCAATTCCTAAGGCTAAGACAGAAGACAATTACCTTGGAAATGGATACTCGAAGGGAGGATTGGAAGCCGAATTGGACAAGGAACATGGGCTCAGAAGTAGATCCAACCAGCAGCCCATAGGAGAAAATACCTTAGTTGTCATCTGCAATAGAAGCTGTTAGAGTTAGTTACTACATTGTCCAGCTGTCAACGAAAGAGTGGCCAAAGTACATTGCATTGAAAATAAAAACGTGTACTGGAGGAGAAAAACGTATCTGATGAATGAATGAAAATCCTTTTTATGTAATCTCTCTTCTTCTCTTCTAAATATTTCCTTCTTTCGATCTTACCTTCTCTATTTCCTTCGGCTCATAATAAATTGGTATCTAGAGCCACAACTCCTGGCAAAGCAATAGTTGCATCCTCTGTTTTTTCTATGATTCAACAGCTGATTGAAAACTTATCAAAGCTAGTGAAGCAAGATCAGTACTTGAAGACAAGGATTGCAATGAATAAGGGTCGTTTGGAGTTGATTCTAAAGGACTTGACAGGAAGGACAGATGATTAAGAATCACTAAGCCCTGAAATTGAGCAAATTCATGGAGAGAAAAAAATGGGTCAGCTTTCACTTAGTGAGTCTAACCCCTTCTTCTTCACTCCTAAAAAAATATTATCAGTGACAATAGAAGAAACATATGATGTTTCGTAAGTGTTCGATAAAGTGTCAGAAAGAGTAGATCATGTTGTATTCCCATCCATCACCGGTTCCATGAAGGTTAATTCACGACTGCAGCAAAAACAAGCCACGACAGATTACAAGGCTCCTATGAGGGTTGAGTTGGAATTTGCACAACAATTTCAAAATCAAATTAAGGTTCCAGAAGAATTGATGGGTAACGCAAAAAACCTGAATTCTATAGTTCAATCAATGTTGAGGAAAAATTATTTCATAGTGTTTATGAATGTCAGTGAACATATATCAATCCTTGATCATTATGTGTTTAGACTTTTGTTGATGGGAAGGAGTATAATTTATTTGGCTAAGAATTGTAGTGTGAATCAAAGTTTGCACCTTATGCTTTCTATTATATTGAAGTTGGGTATATGGAGCAATCTCAATGTTTATGATATGGACAACGTCGACCAACCTTTTTATAGTCCACAACAGATTTGTTACTATGTTCTTTGATTAATCTATAGCAATTGGACTCCTGTTCCTCGAGCTATGAAAGAATACAATAGCAACATCAAAGCTTAATGGCTATCAAAGTCTTCATACAACAGTAATTTTGTTTTTGTATGAAAGCATGTTTTGCCTAGAATTTCATATTAGAATTGACGAGATGGATTTGATAGTTGAAAGAGGGATTGCTGCTCATTATAGTGGGAGAGTCTTTGTTACTGGTCTACTTGAGGTATCAACTTTAATTACATATTCTGAAAATCTGATGTCTCATTTGGAGTTAGTTGATGGGGATCCGGATGAAGGTGGTAAGCTAAGAATCTCTAGTGCTACTATACTGAAGCTTGGTAGGAACATGATCACCTATTTTTTAGCACCACAGAAACTTAGTGCTTATGTCTTAAGGTTAATTACAGCTTCGAAAGAAGAACTAAAACAACATGAAGAAGGAACAAAGACTGATGGCTTTGAGCCTAAGTATGGTATTCACAAGGCTTTATCTTGGAACAATGTCTTTTTCACAAGTTCAAGAGTTTGGGATTTTGAAGAATTGTTTGGGAATGTTGAAGTTGATAAACATGCTGCTAAGATTCCAACATCAGATGCGATTTATGTTTTCGGACAAAGGCATAAGGCCCCTACAAAGATTGAACAATGTCTTTTTGATATCAAACATTTGTTGCATGAATCAATAGAACCACAAAAGAAGGATCTTATGAAAATTGATTCCAATGAATACAATAACAACAATGTTGATACAAAGGGTGGGATAAAAGTTATCCAAATTCCTAGTGGTGTTACTGGAAATATGGCATCTTGTGCCAAAATGACTATATATCTCATATTAGGTCTTCTTAGGAAACAAAATGTGATGCAAATAGTTGTAATGTGGAAAATGTTTGATCCTTGGGGACAAGGATCATCTGCAGGAAGGGTGAATGTCATAAAAGGAGAGGAAGCCAACACTAAAGGCATCAAAGATCAAGTAGAAGTCAAAGATCATGTTGAGATTAGATTCCCTGGTACAATTCTAACTAATTGCACATATGAAGTTTGCAGCTCAGAAGTGACTACCGATAGCATGAAAAGATTCTAGGAATTTAAAATAACAATGTTGATTGCTACAATCGTGAGCAAGTAAAATGGTAGACAGATTATTGTTCAATTAGTAACAGAAAATGGTAGACACTAGAGAAGGCAAGAATCAGGTACTAAAACAACAACTTCAGAAGACTCAAGGAAGGATGAAGCTTTAAGTGAATACAAAATTGACAGACAGAGGTATAAAGACAGAGGACAGAATTTACCTGAAGTTTCGGTCTTACCATCAAACCTCACTTGCTCTTCAAAAAGGATTAAGGCTGGCAGCAAGGGTCTATGGTACCTACTTCGTTTTACATTGCATGAGGTTAGTAGCATATAACTTGTTATATGAGTCCTTGAAGGTGCAAACAATGAATTATGATAGTTTTTTGAAAAAGGAATCTAGAGATCAACACATTACCTTATTGAAGCCTTTCAAGTTTGGACATAAATGACAGTTGAAGGTCCAATCTGCTATGAAGTTTGACAAACATAAGGAGAAGAAGTACAATCAGCTGCAGTGGAAGAACTTAAGGTTGGAAAACGTCATTGGGGTAAACTATATTGTGCTTAAGGCATAATTATTAGGTTTTGATCCTTAGGGACAATGATCAACTCATGGAGGGGGTATTGTCATGAATGAAAGAGAAGAACAAGACAAGGAGTTCAGAATCGAAGCGAGAGAATTGGGGGAAATGAAAGAGGGATTAGGGATTATGAAAAGAGGAATAAGGGAATTAGGAATTTCAATTCCTAAGGCTAAGACAGAAGACAATTACCTGGAAATGGATACTCGTAGGGAGGATTGGAAGTCGAATTGGACAAAGAACATGGGCTCAGAAGTAGATCCAATCAGCTGCCCACAGGAGAAAATACCTTAGTTGTCATATGCAAAAGAGGCTGTTAGAGTTAGTTACTACATTGTCCAGCTGTCAACGAAATAGTGGCCATAGTACATTGCATTGAAAATAAAAATGTGTACTGCAGGAGAAAAACTTACTTGATGAATGAATTTTTTTTCCTGTAATCTCTTTTCTTCTCTTCTTCTAAATCCTTCCTTCGATCTTACCTTCTCTATTTCCTTCGGTTAATAACAAAAAGTTGGAACGGAACCAGCTTCATTTTATGTCATTAAAGGTAAATTTTTGCCCAATCAATCAACGTGTCACCAAAATAAATCTTTGAAAAAGAATGGACAAAATACCCTATTTCTATATTTTAGAAGTAACACATATTCTTTTAAAAATGTCTCATATTGTTGAATTGAGAAAGCCAAAACGAAATAAAGAACTACCTGAAACAAAGTATGCGACAGATGATATGAACAAGAGATCAATGCTCATAGTTTGATTTGTTTCATACTCACTCTTGCACTGCTAATGGCATGTTACTCGTTTATTTTGCAAGTGTTGCATCCAATTTCTCTCCAATGAAAGTAATCCACGCCTGAAAATAGAGGAATACCATCACCATCAGATCAATAAGAGTATCCATATGCTCAATTTATAAAATGTATAAAATGATAATTGGTATTTTCAATTGGTTTCGATACCAGTCCAAGAGTATTGATACCCTATAGACTTGTATCGATACTCAATTTATAAAATGTATAAAATGATAATTGGTGCTTGCAATTTGTATAATCTGTTTGTTTATCCATATGCTTGATGTGTTCTGCAATTTGGTCCTTATTGTTTGATTACATACTTACTATGTTGTTTCAAAGCTTTATTAAATTTTGATTTGATCCAATTTTTCTCCGTTATCCGAATGTAGCAGAATATACATACCGATTTGGTAGAGGGGGTTACAATAGTGTTCTCTTCCTTAAGTTGTGTAGTAACCTTTCCCTTTTTTCCTAAGAGAAAAGTCGGAATTTTTTTAACTCCCTTTGTCTGCTATAAGACTAGCTATTATTACTCTACTGAAGGTTTACTCTTAGTTCGTTGTCCAGTTTGCCCAATCGTAGTTGCATGCAACGGAGGATGAAATGTTAAAGGTTTACTCAAGTCTGCTTACCTTCTTTGAATGTTAAGAATTTTTGTGTTCTGAAAATTTTCAATTTAAGTTACATTAGTATAATTTATTTCTTATTACTTAATTGTGACTTGTGAGTCTATGTAAATGCTTAATTGAGATGTAAATTCAATTTTGATTAAAAACCTCATGCAATTCGACCTTACTTGGATTTCAGTTTGTTTAAAAAAAGAATCCATTTTTAGAAGTTGAGTTAATATTTTCAAAATTCACAAATAATGTTACGTGAAAAACAAAATAAAAGAAGAGTATTCTTACACTGTATTGAAGAAATTAGAATTCCAAAAAATAAGAGAAAAGATCCTACAAAGTGCATTAAAGGAAGCCTAGCTCTCTGGTGCATGGAAAGAAGATGCATTTGATAAAGGGTAAAGATGATTAGAGACCTGGGAATTTGAAGGCAGAAATGGCAGCTCAGACCTTCCAGGGTAAAGAGACAGACTGGCCAAGTAATTCTCTGCAAAGAATTGCATTGAGTAATGGGAATATAGCCAAAACCCCTTTCCACACAAATCATTTGAATAGTTATGACACAATGAAACCCCAAACACAAGTAACTTACGTGCTCCAGACTTGAAAACACCTTGGCAAAGTGATCCCTGCATCAGTTTAGCAGCATCCACAGCCAAAGGTTCACCGTCATTCATTGATTTAGCTGCCACACCAATCTGAACAAAACACTGGCAGTCATGAACAAAAACTAGAGACCTGCAGCATGTTACAGAGGAAAGAGATTCCCAAGCCCTGTAAACGAGAAACAACAGCAACCTTTAATTTCAAAACAGAACACAAGAACCAAATATAATGGTTGACGGTGGCGAGAAGGGACGATGATTATTTTAAATCATTTTAAATTTAATAATAATAAAATAATTTGTAGTAGGCCTGTAAACGAACCGAACGCACACGAACGGATGTATGTTCATGTTCGTTCATTTAATAAATAGACGAACATAAACGAACACGAACATAAACGAACAAAAAAAAATTTGTTCATGTTCGTTTATTAAGGAATATAATTTGTTCATGTTCGTTCATTTAATAAATAAACGAACATAAACGAACACGAACATAAACGAACACGAACATAAATGAACACGAACATAAACGTTGGAGACCCTACCTTCCATTGTTCTTTGATGAAAAATAGGCGACAATGCAAATCAACCAAATCTACAGTGATAAATAGCGTAAGAGTTGATTAGCAGTGATGAAATGTTTGAAGATATCAAATATTTCGATCGATCTTTTAAAGATATTAAATGATTCACACAACTTTAATTTAACGCTATAACATTTATCTTAGTGGTCCATGATTACATATGAACAATCATTTTCCGCTATTACACTCTTTTTCAGAAATTGCATAGAAACCTTTGTTTTGTTTTCTGGCAAATTCTATATATTTTTCTCTTTACTGATGCTCGTATACTTCCGATTGTTACCTTTATATTCCCATCTATTTCTAGAAAGAAGTATACTGATGCTCGTATACTTCCGATTGTTACCTTTATATTCCTATCTATTTCTAGAAAGAAGTATGATGTTTTCTTGAGTTTTAGATGTGAAGATACCTGCAATAACTTTACATATCAACTATTAAGCCAAATAAAACAGAGAAAGAGATGAAAACAAACATGTAAAACTTCATATTGCACTATAATATAACTTGTTTTGAAGCTTTCAGCGATCGTCTCCACTCTCTAGTGAACACTAGGGTTTGGGGAAAAAAGGGGGAAATGAATATAGGTGCGAGGTGCCTCACAGGTTAACATATTGGATTTAATCTCCAAATAAAATTGGATTAATTATGGAGTTGGTCATCAGAATATCATATTAATTAATATTTTTAAGATACTAACAAATTGGTCACCAAAATTGATTTAAGAAGATTGGGTAAACATAAATGAATGAACATAAACGAACATAATCGAACGAACATAAACGAACATAACTGAACGTTCACGAACGTAAATGAACGAACGAGACCTATGTTCATGTTCGTTCATTTAATTAAACGAACAAAAAATCTTGTTCATGTTCGTTCATTTAATAAATAAACGCACATAAACGAACTTCCCGCCGCACGGTTCATGAACGGTTCGCTGAACGTTCAGTTCATTTACAGGCCTAATTTGTAGTGACTAAAACATGAGCAATTCAAAAGTTAAGTGAGTAAATTGGGAAAATTGAAAGTATAGTGAGTGAAATAAGAGAAAAATTAAAGTTCATTGATGAAAAGGTGTAATTTACCCAACAATTAAAATATTTTAAGTTAAATATTTTACATGAAATAAACCCGCCCTAGATAAAAGATTGCTCATACTAATGAAATTTAAGTGATAATATATAAGGAAATTGGTAAAAAGTAAAAGTAGTTTAATATTGAAAAAAATTGTTTGAAGAGATGAGTAAAAAGAGTGAAAACGCTTTAAAGAAGGTCAAGATTAGGAAAGTCGCATTCGTGTTGTTCATGTATGAGTTTAAATCTATTTTTACAATATAAATTTTTTTAGTTTTATGTACATTTATAATATTTTGGTAGATGAAAATAGATAGCTGAAATCAATAATAGAAAATAAAAAGATATTTACTGAAAAAAATGAATTAATCTCAGTCATTTATTTTCACATATTTAAAAAATCAAAGGGGCAACGAACGCCCTTCACTCCTCCTGGCTCCCTTGGATAAAAGCAAAACAAATCAAAGAAGTCGATGATTTGATACTCTGTAATGCCTTATTTTGCGACTCATTTCAGAATTCAGCTCAATGTGTTAGTTACTTTGTTTCTGCTTAATGTTTGAGCTATAATTTTGCTTTTATAGTATACTGTTCTGAAGACTTACATGTTACTAACAAATAGGTCGTCGAGACATGAGAAGTATATATATATATATATTATAAAAATCAAAGTCAATTTAATTTTAATGCAAGTTGGTATGCAATTTCAACGATAACACCTTTTCTCTGTATTTGCATATGTTCTGGGTACGCCAAGTAAATTCTAAGCAGGTATTTAAGATACTCGCTGATGAATTTTTATTTTTTAAAGAAAAATATAAAATAGTAATATTATTGGGTTGAATATGGGGTATTATTATTTAAGCATTTTCGTTCGTTAAAAGGGATTATAGTTTTGAAAAGGAGAAAGTGATGTAACATTTAGATTCGAACTCAAATTTTGTTGACCATTGTCAAGTACTATTAATTTTTATTTCAGATTTTTTTACTTGAATTTTATATACGGTAAACATCAATCATCACTGAATTTTACTCTCTTTTCTATTTCACTCATTATACTTTAAGTTCGTTCAATTTTCTCACTGAACTTCACATAATTAGCATTTTTTGTCACTCAACCGTTTTCTCACTACACAACGTTATAAATGAGCTGTTATATAGATGCAAAACGACGTCGTTTTGGTGAAAAATTATTTTTCTAAAACGAAGTTGTTTTAACACTGTTAAATATTTAACGGTTGAGTGACCAAAAATTCTAATTATGTTAAGTTCAATTAGAAAATTGAATGGATTTAAAGTACAATGAGTGAAGTAGGAGAAAAAAAGTAAAGCTCGGTGATGATTGGAGGGAGCATTCATCAGCGCCGATAAAGACGTCTACTGTCACAACATCATCGTCCCCTGACTCATGGACGGAGAGCAGGCACTTCCAACTCGTCCTCAGTTGTAGCATCGGAACCATCACAGCAGCCATCCTCTACACCAGTGTACATTTCGTAACCGTTTCAGATGTCACCGCAGTCGTATCAGATATCACTGTAGCCATTTCAGATACCACTGTAGTCAGATCAGAAGCCACCGCTTCCATATTTGATGCCACTGCTGTTGGGTCAGATGACACCGCATCTGGTTCAAATGTCACCGCCGCAAGGTTTGATGACCCCTCTTGGCGGATATTATACTTCCATGCTTGTAGATTCAGTGTGGGGTTCATATGCTGCTTATTTGACAGGTGAAGGTGCACCACATACACAGACACCTACGGCGCAGTTTTCGCACTCATCAATGTCAACGTTTTCACAGTTTCCTATGAGCGGTGGGATAGTCAGCCATACACTTCCAGAGTCCTTATTCTATGGAGGTGCTACATCGTCATCTATCCCTCATCAACAAAATGTAACTGCTCCTGATGATGATAATGATGATGATGATGATGATGATGAGACTAAAGAGGAATAACAAGTTATATGAAGAAATCCTCATCGACACAGATAACCACCGCCTTGCGGAACACATTCAAAACGCATGCATCGAAATAGTTGTTTAGTTTGTAATGTTTTTATTTAATTTTGTTTGTTGAAAAGTAATTTTAAAGTTTTTATTTAATTATGAACTTTTTATTTATATTGTTTGTTAATGTTTTTATTATTTAATTGTTCGAATTGTATCGTCTGCATTTAATGTTTCTATTTAATTGTTTTTATTATTTGAATTGTATCGTTTTCTTGTATTTAATTTGTAATGTTTTTATTTAATTTTTACTTGAGTAGACAATTACTCGGTGATGCTCAAATGACATTAATTGAAAGTAAATTTTAATTAAATAACACACACTTAGATTTTATAAACAAATATTACATCATCATAGCATCAACAGTTACTTGATTACAAAAGAGATGGACATTTTTTCCTATTGTGTCCTAGGTTTCTACAATGCCCACATCTTTTGTTTTCTCTAAACGTCTCCCGAATATCCATATCACAATGAATTCGAGTGGATTTTGGACTACCAGACTCCCTTAATAAGGACGAATCTGGTACAACCGGAAACCAATTTTGAACCTCATCAGGGTCTTTCTCATTACATATGGGGAGAACTCAAATTATACCTTAAATACTTCTGAAAATCGGTATATGAGATCCACAAACCAGTTACAATCTTGAAGGGTATGAGAGCAAGCTGCTATGAAATGAGAGCATGGATACTTCAGAACTTGAAAAAACTCACAGTCACACCATCTGTCTCGTAGATTAACTCTAAATGAGTTAGTTTGAATCCCTTGAAGAGGTCGTGACATCTTTGTGACACGAAGTAATTAATGGGTTCTAGAAAAAATTGTTACAGATATTCCATTTGATGCAACAATTTTTTTTGTAGATCTGCAATTAATCTTGGGTGATATGCATGACCGTTTTGCATCCAATTTTGAGCTCGACCCCCAAGTTTGGAAAAAAAGCTCTCCCAATTGAAAATATGTTGTTTTAACCAAAGCCGTTACTGGTAAATTGTGTGCCCCCTTTATGGTCGAATTGATAGCCTCAACAAAGTTGGTCGTCATGTGTCCATATCGATATCCACCATCATATGCATTTGTTCACATTTCTTTTTTTTAGTGAGGATGATGTAACTGTATCCTTCCTCGTTCTTTCCTCGAAAATCTTGAAGCATTTACTCAAATGTTTCAGGTAATAGTTCGTAACCTAAGCGTCAAATGTAAAACTTACTGTTAAGTTTCCGTAAAAAATGAAAATAATTGAGAAATAAAATTAGGCATTTTGACATACTCATGCACACAAGTAATTGGCGCTCATCATTCTTCTTGAACTTTCCATGATAGTTAGTAGCAATGTGTCGGATACAATACTAATGTTGGACATAGGGTGGTTGCCACATTGGACACAAAGAATTCATTGTTGCTTTGATTCGAGCTTCACGATCTGAAATGACACATATTTTTCCCCTCGTTACAACATGTAAGCGTAAGTTCCTGAGGAAAAAAGTCCAATAATTTGTATCTTCTCCTTCAACAAGAGCAAAAGCAACTGGAAGAATGTTGCAATTACCATCTTGGACAACTGTCAATAGTAAAACTTACTTGTATTTTCGTACAAGAATGTCCCATCGATTTGGACCACGTGCTTACAGTATTTTACAACACTAATGCACTGTGGGTAAGTCCAAAAAGCCAGTAGAATTGGCATCGATCGGGAAGCACTCTATTATTGTGGTATGCATGGCAAGTTTCGAAGTCAACAATTATCCTTGGATTCAATCTGCGCACTACCCTAAACCAACTTTGTAGTTCTTTGTAAGTTGCATCCCACTCACCGTGAAGTTTTTTAATGGTATTCTGCTTTGCCTTCCATGCTTTCTTGTATGAGGCTGTGTACCCATATTGCGACTGTATAGCTGAAATCAACACCTCAATAGCTATATGGGAGCTTGCTTTGACCATGTGCATGATGACTTGGTAGATAATGTCGAAGTCTAAGTTGGGATGATCCTGGTTGATCCCTCCAGCACAACATGTATGAGGACCGTTGTATATTATTAGTCTCATATATTGTTTTTCCTCTTCCTCTTCGATACACGAACTATCCAGTTACATCCGTTATCACGTTGGACACAGTGGTAGACATACTTTTTGATAATGGAACAGTCGACTCTGGACTGAATAGAATTACGAATGTTGAAATTCTTAATTGCAATTATCACTTCTTCTTTGGATGGAAACTTCATTCCTTTATATAACTCATCATCATTGACTGGTGATTTAAATCCGTAATCACCAACATTAGGAATATCTGCAAATTTTGGCTTGTACATTGCACCATAGTTAGCTTCATACATGTGTGTTGGAGGTTCGATGTGTACATTATTTGTGGAAACTTCATCTACATCAACATCATCGGAGTCCATATTAAATTGCGGTGATTCTGGCTGAACAAATAGTCCAGTCTCAGCATCATTCACAGTAGCTCACGAAGAGGTTGTTCTGGTGGAGATGAGGGTTCCTCCACGATGTCGACATTTAGGTCGAACAAACTGGTAGTTGAATGTATTCCCCTTAACTTGAATGCATTTCGAAATTGTGGTCGAAGAAGCTCGCAGTTGAATGCCTCCCCCTGGAACTTGAAGGCATTATGTCAAATAGGTACTGTACCTATTGATGCGACGAGGGCACCTCCATATTCAGGTTAAAGAAATTGGCAGATGAATGTATTCCCCTTGAACTAGAAGCGATGTTGCCATACAGATTGTTGGTGAAGCCACCCCGGTACGGATTGTAACAAGTTGCTGATTAATGTCTCCTCATTGAACTTGATGGGATAACACCATGATGTAGATTTCCCATTAACGAGTTAAAATCATTGCACATTACTTGAGTTGGGCTGTCAACTTGATCAGCTTGTTAAGCGAGCCCATAGTGGGAGCATGATGACATACCACGAACTGCAGACACTTCAACAAATATCGCATACATCTATGTATCAGCGTCTGAATATTGATTATGGGAATCAACCATCATAGCAACATGTTCATCATTGGAGAGTTCGAACGTTGTATAAGTTAACGGAAATATTGTTGCTGGAAATGTGTAACTGAAGTGAAGACAGTCTTCTAGTACTTCCAACATGAACATTCCTTGAAACTTTAGTGATCAGTTCCTCAAGAGTGATGTTTCTCTTTAAGGATATTCTGACATAATGGTTTGATACGAAGACGCCGCTGATTTTATCTTCCCGGATTTCTCCATCATAATAAACAATAGCTGAAATACACATCATTTTGAGAGTTCGAAATATTGAGAGTCTTATATTTACAAAAACAATAACTGAAATACACTTAATTAAATAAATAGTATATGAATTAAAATATAAACTAATCCAAAAAACTTAAAAATTCACAATAATTTAAATAACACAATTTCATATTGTTACCGTATCTGTAAAATATCTCGAGGTATGATCCCGCTTTCCAATTTTACAACCGAAAAATAATATAAAATAATTAGCACAATAAAATTTATTCAAATAATTAAATATAAAATAAATATAATATAATATAATATAATAAAAAATAATTTTACCTTATAAAAACAATAACAAAATCTACTTAGCTTATTAGAAAGAATTAATAGAAGTGAGAATAAGCAATAAATTTTGGTGTGGTCATGTTTGTATTCAGAGGGATTGTTATTTATAGTGTAGGGGGAGCATTTAAAAGCCAAGTTTTCATACTCAGGTGATAATGGAGTACCAATAATTCAACGTGCATAATGGAAGGCGTGAATCATGATTTACGTCTTCCGTACATGTCAAAAACTTGCCGCGCCTTTCCTTTACGTGGCGCCAGTTCGGATAGAATCCCATGATTTATTGTCACCGTGTCAGAAAGTGTACTAAATCGATAATATTTGGGGAGAGGGTGCCTGACATGTAATTTTTGGGTCTAAGGATGATATTTCGGTAAAAACACCCTGAGACTAGAGGTGCACAAAAAATCCGAATATCCGATTTTGCACAAAAAATATTCGAAACCGGATTTGAGAAAAACCGATTTTTTAAAAACCGGATAGTATAACCGGTTTGGGAAAAAATTGGACGACCGGATTTTTTACCAGATTAAAAACCGGTTTGAAAAAAACCGGATAAAAAATTAGTTTTTTATCCGGAAAAAAAATCCGGTCTGGGGTTTAAAAAATTGGATGACCGGATTTTTTACCGGATTAAAACCGATTTTTTTCAAACCGAAACCGGTTACACCGGTTACATCATCCGGCCCTCCAAACCGGTTATGATTCGAACCGGTTTTTTTATAAATCGGTTTTTTGGCTTAATGAAAAAACCGGATCGGTTTTTATCCGATCCGGATCGGATTTAAATCCGGCTATGTGCATCTCTACCTGAGACCATACAGGAAGCCCCTTTACCGGTCTTCTGATAAAAGGATTGGCCATTGGCGAAATCCTTGAGATCATCCATGATCTCTCGCTTCTTCACGGGATCCATAGCCAATGTGTCAAAGGTGCTTGGATGCTTAAATGGAGCCGCCTCCCAAGGATGTACCCTGGAATCCCAAGACCCACCTGGAGAATTGGTGTATAACAGCCTGTCTCGGTTCTTCCTACGGATTTCATCGGCCTTTTTCATTATGTAATCCAGGTAGGAATCAAGAATCAAGTACCTGTCTCAACATTTTGTTTGATTGTCTTCACTCCTTTATGTTTTTACATTTTGGCAATTTCTTCGTGGATTCCTTCCCTGTTTCATAATTTGATTTACACTCAAGTTTACAGTATTGAGTCTGCATTTCTTTTTTGAAAACAGAGGTTGATCGATGACGAAGTTGAAAAAGTCAAAGGATTCCCTGTAGATACAATTGTGCCACTTCGAGAACGGTTGAAAATATTAGGCCGTGTTGCAAATGTAGAAGATATTCACACGGATGCTGCAGAGAGGAAACTTATGCAGGCATACAATGAAAAGCCTTTTCTTTCACGCCCTCGGCATGAGTTCTGCTTGGTACGCATGCTTGTACGCTAAGGGTTGACATAGATAGTGTAGATATTTACATACCTAATATTTGAATGATGTGCTCCTAATGGAGCACGTTTGGGTAGCCTTAGAATCGCATGGATACACTGTCTCGTTATGGTTCTTTCTTAGGGTCACTAGTTACTCGATTGAATTTTCACAGGGAGAAAACTATTTCGAGATCGATATAGATATGCACAGATTCAGTTACATCTCTAGGAAAGGTTTTGATGCATTCCTAGATAGGCTAAAGCTTTGCATCTTAGTCGTCGGTCTAACTATTCAGGCAAGTTCCGATATCTCGCTTGCAACTTCAAGATCCCCCTCCCCACTTTCCCCTGATTTTTTTAATTTTTTCTTTTCTTTTTATAATGACGTTTAAACATTGTTTGCCTTTGAAAACAGGGGAACCGAACTGAAGAGTTGCCCGAAGAGATCTTATGTCGTTTACGCTTGAGCGGAATCGACTATATGAAGCACCACCAACTGGGTTTGATGCAAGAGCCTTGTTATGTAAGTTTTGAAATGCTTTAATGCTTATATTGCCACGATTTAGTAAAACGCTAATCCTGGATAAATTTCTGCTCTTATTTTATCGGTACTAGACTTTCTGAGCTTGAAGACGACAATTGGACTTCCTCATCCGCTCATCTTCCTACTCGGACATTAAGAGCTACTTCCGGTTTACAACGCGTCTCGTAATGAACAAGGGGGTGTTTTGTTCGAAACTCGTCCGCTCCGATGGCATTATTTGTCATGATATGTACAAATATAATCATGAATTTATTTTTGGAAAAGAAAAAAAAGACCTTCGTGATCGGTATACTTCTGTATTGCTCTCAATTCTAATCAAACTTTGAAATTATGTATTTTCTCATATTCGAACAGATGCGTCTGTAAGGTTTTTGTACATTGTTAATAATTATGAAAGACTCTAAATAGATACTAATATTGTAATCACCTCGATTTATTAAAAAAAATTACATATTGGACCTAAATTCATATTAATAATAAACATCGACATATCAAGGTATAAATACTAAAATTACACATGAATTTTGATAAAGTGTAATATTATATACAAATTTAGATTTGGTGCGACTATATACATTAATTTCTAATTTTATCTAATTTTCATCGATTATTAAAATTGTTACATACGTAGCATTATACTACGTTTAAAGATCATATACACATAATTATATCTATCCAAAACGAAGAATTAAGACACAATTGATATAAAATATAAATTTAGTATGTATGGTTGAATTAAAATTAAAATTTCATATATATAACACCAAATTAAAATTTATATATCACATCACATATTTAACCAAGGTTAATGTATAGTTTTAATATTTATCGCGTGCATCAATAATAAACTTTGGGAAGATGTATTTGCTATATGATAATAAAGAGTTTGAATTGTTGATCAACCCTATTTGATACGAAAACAAGTGAGATTGACCCATCAATGGGTGTCTATATACCAAACATAACCTCACAGCAATGCTTATACATCATCAGCCAGTATTTATTTATTTATATATGCTCTCATAATTCTCCCAACTGAAAAAGATGGCTAATTAAAAACCCTGTGTTTCTCGATGAGATCGTGGAGTTCAGTCTTTTTAGCTCCCACCAGCCTGCATATCTCCGTGCCTTTCTTAACAAGAACGAATGTCGGCACCGAGTCTACTTTGAATTCCCGAGCCACATCCTACCGGGACGACACATGATTCTATGTTAAGAATAAATTTACAAAACTCCAAATATAATAAATTTATAAAATTTTAAGAGCAAATAGATTATTAATAAAAAATATAAAATATATGATAATTTAAAATTTTTGAAACAGACGACTCATCGACTTGTCACCTTATGTCTATCCATCCATGACCACATGTATACAAATAAAACAAAATAAAAGAGAGAATGGAAAAGGAAGTGTTACGGGTAAAGTGTCGATATCAATCTTGAGGAACTCAACGTCAGCATACTTATTGGCATAGTCTTCAATCGCCGGTTCCATCAATTTGCAGGGTCCGCACCAGGTCGCCGAGAAATCAACCACCACCTTCAACAATCCATGGAAACAAAATTACACACATCAATCGCCCAAACTTTTACCAATTAGTACCAAAGAAACGGAAAATTGCAGAATATAATATACGTTTAAAATTTTCTCAATCTGTAAATACATATCAGTTGTTCGACCATTGAACTCAATAGATCCAAATGCATACATATATATATATATATATATATATATATATATATAAACACACGAATACATGATACCAGTTTGTTGCTTTGCTTGGAGGCCTCTAGGTGACCTGTCCACTCGCTGCTGGAGTGAATTTCGACGATTTTGGCTGTGGAGGCTTTGTTTCCCATTTTTTTAATATAAAAAGCTTGAAATTAGAGGGAAAATGAGAGGTAAAAAAAGCTTTCTTGTAAGTAGTTGTGTTTTGATTTCTGGGATGCCAAGGAAAGCCTTCATATTCTAAAATCTCCAAGCCAAAATATAAATTAAGTAATTATAAAAATAATAAGTTAGCATTCTTTTTGGGCAATAAAGATTGGTCATCTTAAAGAAGGGAGAAAAGGAAAAAGAAAAGATAAATTAAGAGGTAAATATTCGATCTAATTTGTAGTTAAAAACCTATTCGATGTTTAGAAATATATAATATTTTAAAGTAATACTATTAATGAAAACTCGATCAGGTTTAACTAATTATATTTTTAAGGTGTGCGCGCGTTGTCAATTAGACAAAAAAATATAAAAAAATATTATCTTATAATCACTCGATATTATTAAAAACCAATACTAAGATAGTGTTTCGTAAATGTAAATATTTGGAGTGTAAATTTAAATTTAATGCTTTAAACATAATTTTTTTGTAAAAGAATAATATATATATATATATATATATATATATATACACACATATAAGAATATGATTCTTCTAGGTGGCATCATATGTTTTTTTCTTTTAAATAGTCTATATAAGATTAGTGATGGGCATGCGACCCGAACTCGAATGGTTTCGACCCGATCGGATCGGGGTAAGTTTTTTTTTATAAAAAAAGTGGGTTTGAGTTGGGTCGGATTGGGATTTTTTAAAATGTGATGTTCTGGTCGGGTTCAAGTTTAGAGTGAAAAATACCCGACCCGACTAGACCCGAAAAAAATAATTTTACCTTATATATATTTAGAAATAATTTCAATAATACCCCTCTATATATTATTTTTTTCAACTAAGTCATTGTTTTTATTGAATAAAAATAATATTTTTATTATTATTTTACCTTGTTTCGGTCGGGTCGGGTCGGGTCGGGTGAATAAAAATAATATTTAATGTCATGATATAAAATTTGATGTATTTGATGCAATTGACCATATATTTTTTTCATATACAATTCATTAAATTTGAAAATTATTGAAAAAATATTTCTTGCTATAACTGAAATCACTTAATGAATTGATTTTTTTAATAGTTTGAGATAATTACAATGTAGTATCTATTTAAAAAAAAATTCTTAATTATTAACAACACACACTCTATAATTATAGGTATCAAATTTAAAATCTTTAAAAAAAATACTCTCTTCAACAGTAAACTATTTGATGGGCTATTATGAGCTGAATTTTAGTTATATATTTTGTACCGAATAATTATACGTGCGGATGATACAAGAGTACATATCACGTAACCGAGTCGATAAAAGCAGGAGATGCCTCACCCACTCACTTGGGGCTGATACAAGACAGCATCTTAATTTTTTATTTTGAGTAAAAGACATCATCTTAAATCTTTCTCTTAATAATTATGTGTTAATTTCAATCGATTTGGACTTATAAATTACAATAGTGTCATATTTAATATATTTTCGGCGAGTAAAATCAATTTTTAAGTATATTTTATATAACAAAAACATTACATTTTTATGTCACCTAAATAAATAATGAATATAGAACATCGGGTATAAGAAAAAGATTATAACATATATTATATTAAAGCTTAAAATTATTCAAATTTTATATTTTAAAAACAATCACGTAAATTAGGAATTGATTTTCGATGCCTCTTTTTTTTAAGATTCTTTAATTTTCTTTTCATTTCCAGCCGTAAGGAACCTTTATCTCGTAGAGGAGTTGTCCAAAGCACTAGAAAAGGAGTTTTGTTACGGAAGGAGCATCTCACGCCTGATAAACTAAAGGGAGGATGACAACATATACAAGGATGGATCGAAAGAATGAGTGAAGGTAATCGCTCTCTTAAAAAGTTTAAATTATTGTATATTTTAAATTTTTATAATAGATTTTATTAATAACATATTTTGGCTCTTCAAAAATTTGAAAAGTCTATATATATATATATATATATATATATATATTTCTAGAAGATAGAATAATGTGGAGAATAATTTGATTTTGACATAGTGTAGTAATGGGGTTTTAGCAGGAATCGTGGTACGTATGGGGAATAGAATTGGAGTTGTGGCCATTATTGATAGGGGTGTTCAAATAACTTAATTAATTCGGTTAACCGATCGAACTGAATTAATTCGGTTAATTTGGTTTGGTTATCGAATTAGTTCGGTCGGTTAACGGTTAAGAAAATTTTTAGAATTCGGTTAACGGTTAATTCGGTTCGAATTCGGTTAATTAATCGAATTAACTGAAATTAAATTTTAAATATTAAATATATTATATATAACATATGGGCTCAACCCAAACCATTTAAAACCCAATTAATAATTTAAGATTTAATAATTTTTAAACCTAAATCAATATTAATTAATTAAAAAAATTATATAAATTTTTTATTTTATAATTATATATATTATTTAAATTAATTGTAAACTGTTTTTTTAATTAAAAAATATTAAATATATTATATATATAACATATGGGCTAAGCTCAAACCATTTAAAACCCAATTAATAATTTAAGATCCAATAACTTTTAAACCTAAATCAATATTAATTAATTAAAAAATTTATCTGAAATTTTTATTTTATAATTATATATTATTTAAATTAATTATAAACTTTTTTTAATTAAAAAACATTTAATTTTTATATAAATTAGAAAATTTTAAAAAAATTCGGTTAATTCAAAAATTAATCGAATTAACCGAAATTTATTCGATTCGGTTAATATGTTTGAAAAAAAGTTCGGTTCAGTTAACGGTTAAAAAAAATTAGTTAATTCAGTTATAGTTAATTCGGTTCGATTTTAACCGAATGAACAACCCTAATTATTGAGACTTAACATTGCTAATCTTAGAGATTCCCATCAACCATCTTCCCACGACAACCGTTGACTTAAACATCAATTGTATACTGAAACCCCAAAGTATTCATATTAAATTTACCCAATGAGTCAATCGCTTGCTGCTCAATATTAGTGCTACCTATCAATGGCATTGGATGAATCTACATCAGAATCAGTTGCATAACGGTATTATCACGCTTCATGCATCAATTTGAAATATGATCTTAAATCTTTTTCAACATTTTTAAATGATTTTTAAGGGTATGTTTGTTTTATGTAAAATGTTTTAAGATTTTTTTCGATGTTCACTCTTCTTAATACTCTAAACTCTAAATCTTTCTTAACCTATATCTTTAAACGGTGACCTTACTGAAATATTACCCATTTTTTATTTTATGATGTATCAATTTACATCAATGTAAATAAATTTAAGAGAGGACAAAAAATTAAATTTATACTATTATAAATAAATTAGTAATATTTTTTCTTTCAGGTATTTAAAACGTTGATATTATTTTTATAATGAACAATATTGTCGTATTACAAACATTATAAATATATGTATACTATAAACTAAATTAAACTCGAACCCTAAATCTTAAAAAGCCTAAATCGGATCTATTTTTCACACTTAATATTTTTCTCATTCCGTTTTAAATTTCCTTTAAACTTGAATCGATTATCGACCCTTAAACAAGTTTGACCCGTTTTGAACCCGAGAAAAAGGCATTTTTTAAAACATAGTCAGGCTTAAGATTTCATATTTAGGGCCCAAGCCCAAATCATTTGACCCGTTTTCAAATCTCCCAGATGCTCCTTTTTATTGTTATAGGATTTGAATCATATAAAAAATAAATTTACAATCTGAATATTTCTATAAAACAAAATTATGTTAAAATTAATATAAGAGAAACATATATAAAGATAATAATATTAGATAAAAAAATAAGAAATTATTTGATAGGATGGTATAAATTTTGATTTATATAATATTGTCAATTTTAAGGTTTATAATTTAAAATTTTAAACTTTAAGATTCAAAATTTTAGATTGAATCTAAAATTTTTTAAATAACATATATATCAGATAATAACCTAAAAAAATATATATTTATATTTGAAAAAAGCTAGTTAAAGAAGTAATAAATAAACCTAAATTATACAAACAAGGAGGAATTTGGACAAGCTATTTCAGACTGGACTGGAACGAACATGTAATACCGATGTATACGAACAAAACCATGAAGAGGTAATACCGACGACGGCTATTTACTAACAAAGTGCATGTTAAAAAGCAAGGAGGATATTGGTAGAAGTCTATGGTTTTCAATGATTTCCAATGCAAGTCACCGACTCTCTCAACTACAAAATGAGTAAATTAGGGTTGTCCTGGATGATACCATATAAACATGAACCCACTTTCAAAACATGCTTTCTGAGCAAACTCAAAAGCCAAAAGCCAAAAGGTGCATTTTCACCACCCACTTCGAGAGGCCGACCTCATAAACACGGCCTAAAGCACTCATGAGGCGACACTAGCATCGGCCGAGGCATGACCACCCTGAGCCGTCGAGCTCTGATTGTTGTAAGCGTGGGCACTGCCTCTGCCACCTCTTCCCCGGTTGTTATAATAGTTCCTAGAATAGTTGTTGCCGGGCTGATCATAGTATTGGCTTCGACCATTTTGGTTGGCTCCACCACCCCTTCCACTGCCTCGACCTCCACGACCATTGGAGTAACCCCTACGACCACCTCCAGTAGCACGACTCCCTCTTTGGTTGTGATAGGGTCTTCGAGGAACATACTGCTGCTCCCTGGGTTCTACATCTCTCTGATTGGGGTCCATATCCAACTGAAATTTGCCACCTTCTTGTTGAACAGCAGTGGCCTCGGGATGATTTTCCAACTCCGGTTCATCCTAACGAGCACAAACCTCCTATATTAAATCAAATAAATGGAATCCTAAAGGAACATATATAATGTTACAGCTAACTGAAAGAACCTTTTGAAGTTCCTCTGCAGGACTAAATTGACTGCCGCTGGTCTCAGTTTCTTGATAATTGGATGTATCTGCTTCCTACATCAAATACAAAAACAATTTGAAACATTTTATCCCCATTTGGAATCATAAAACTAATAGGGAAAGGACAGCTCCAGCTGAAATTTAAACATGTATGTTAATGCTAAACAAATAAACTGTATCAATGGAAGGCCTTAAAAAAGAAGCCATCCCAAACAATTAAATCAAGTCCTATGTCCGTCTGAGGGAAATGAAAACTACGAAACATCACATCCAGGACATGCAAATCCTTCCTACAGTCATTCCTACTTCACCATGTAAAAAAACGTAACCATCGCATTGTCATGCAAAGGCAGAGGAATCCAGCTACCATAAAAGATTTTATTCTAGAGACCATCAGACCAATGTGTTATTTATAGGTCTGAATCATAAGAATCGTTTAAAACCCCATACTGATTAATCAAGAATAGCAGAATACTCAATTATATCAAATTTGTAGTATCTCACAGCTCTCCTTGACAAACTGAAGGTAAAAACTCAAGGCAACCCTCTGTTCCTTTCTGTATTTCCTCTAACAACGTGACTTCTTTAGGTGAATCTAGTTTCAGTTGGGTTCCATTAGTCTATCTTTAAGCCAATTCATGAACCCATCCTACACAATCCAAACTCATAATCGAGATTTTTAAGTTTCACCTTGTGAAATAAAAATGAATAAATGACATTCTTTCTTTAAAGACAACCTAACAAAAGAAATAGCCATGTATTATTTCAGAGTCAACTTCTGCATTTACAACTCGTTTATGAGTATTCTCTTCTAAAAAAACCTAAAACCTTGCCCTTCCGCAAATCTTTGTATCAAAAGTGTAGAATCAAATGTCACCGAGACCCACAAAAGGTACATCATGCTGCTTGATACTGTTCTAAGGGTGAGCACCAAGCAAGTGAACCAACAGAATTTTGATGTATTAGAAGGGACTAACATATGAATAAATTCAATCAAATCTGCTGGCAATTCCAATAATCAACAGCGAGGAATGAAACGTTATGAATGAGTAAAGACAACTAAATGTTATGAATGAGCAAGGATACTTAATGTGACAACTGACAAGTGACAACTGATCACATCATTCAGATCGAACAAATTTTTTAGAACCCAACTTTTAGATGACTTGATTGAAGTCACAGCCACCAATAACTTAACTTAGTAATGCAAAACCCTAATGCTTGCACTGATCTGTTTTGAATGGATTTTTTTAAAAAGGATGGATATGTAAAGATGAGTGGGGCAAATTTGGTAAATGCTTGCTCCAATCCATCCCCACTTTTAAAATTACTATTGTCCTGATAATATTCATTATTGCTACAAATCCCTAAATATAACAAAAAAAGTAGCCCGGAAGGTCCAAAAGCCCTAAATGTTCAGAATGCAACACATACAGGATGCAAAATAACAAAATCAAGGAATTCAGGGCAACCTTCATCGACCCCAAATAGGACATATACATACACATGAAGAAGTCAAAGGAAAAATAGAAAGACAACATTGCTTCTCAAGGGTGTTTGCGTGCACCCAAGTCCAGAGAAAAAACAGTCTTAAAATCCCCATGAGTAGATAATTCTTCTTAATTCTTATCATCTTATTTGTTGAGTTTAAGATTTTATCTCTACTTTTGGATTGGCTCAAACTCTACTTTGGAATCAAGAAGTATAATATTAGAACTCAATGGATATTTAGGCACTTTTTCCTACTAATAAGAAATTATTTCCAGAGATTGTCAGAATAGTTATTAAGTTGCTCAATCTTAGGCATCATGTCCAATAATGTGTGTGTGTGTGTGTGTGTGTGTGTGTGTGCATATGAGTATAAGATTTGATAGAGTTTGACAATGATGACATCCAAAAGATCTCGCAACCAAGGACTAATGTTTCCCTTTACTTCCCGAGTGCAAATTACATAGTTTCAGACAGCAGAAAAATACCAATAGTAGTCGTAAATTCATAATGATAGATAGCCGACAAACTAACATACTGATCAAGTCTGGTAAAATATATAGAGTATTTCAGCTTTTTATGCATACATAAATAACAAATAGCAATGCCAACAACCAAGTGGTCCGTTGGTAGAGTGCCTGGACTCCTAGTTCCAGAGGCAGGGTCAGATTCTGTGGTTCTTTAGTCATTTATATAAAGAATAATACCTTCTGCTGATACTGCTCAATTGAATCTTCCACCTCAACAGGCACAGAGATGGGGACACTCTGCAGTGGAACCTGAAAAGTGGTATAAGTCCCGGCAGCCGCAGCCACTTCAACCGGTGCCTTCATCTCGGGGGTGGTTGTAAAATACTCCAAAGCCATAATCTTGTTAAGCCTCTCTCTCAACCCAGCATCTGCAACGCATAGAAATACCAAGTTAGAAAAAAAAAACCCAGAAATTTAACAAAAATAAACCCCACAATTAGAGTGAATTGTTACAGGAAACTCCGGCATTGGGGTCGATGGGCTGGTCAGAGTTCGAAAGCCAAAGCTTAGCATATTGAACACAACGGTGCAAAGCGTTTTTGTGAGACAAACTGGAATCAGCAGGACGCGAAGTCAATAGTCCACTCAGAGACGAAATCGAATCCAAATCTTTCTCACTAAGCAGGTCGGTGGCGTCGTCGGTGACGTAATCGTAGGTCAGGCAACAGCCCCTCTCGTGAGTCCGAGTCAACATCGTCGAAGTGAAATCATTCTGAGTCTTAACATCGAACAACGACCCGAAATAGAGCAGGTTGAGGAGATCCTCAATGGTATGATCAGGCTCATCGGGCGGCTGCTCTTGGGTTTGCGAGGTAGTTTCTTCAGTCGAAATGGTTTGACGCTGTAACGCGAGTGATATTTCTTCGGAAACGGCGGAGGAGAGAGGTTGGCGAAGCTTCTCGAGTTCGTCGATTAGGGCGGAGACGGTGGGTTTTGAACGGAGGACTTCTTCTTGCTCTTTGTTTAAGATTTTTCCCTGCGAGACGGATTCTTCCATTTGGAGGATGCGGTTGTATTTCTTACGTAACGCACGGATGCGTTTGTTGATGAGGTTAAGGACGGGACCGTCAGAAGGAGTGGTGGTTGTTGTGTCAGAGGAAACAGTTGTCGGTGCGGCGGTCGCCATTTAAGGTTTGTTTCCAGTTGTGGTAACGACCCGATCGTAGTTTGAAAGAGAACCACTGGGATGTGGTGGCGGCAGCGCTGGTGGTAGTGGGCGGCGGGAAGAGAAGATTTTTGGGAAAAGAATGGGAAAGTGAATAGTCTTGGATTGGGCTTTTTTGGGGGGTAAAACACTGCTTCAAGTAATAGTTACAACTTAATGATAATATATAAGGGTAAAGTATATAAACAGTCCCAACTGTTTAGAGATCTTGCATTTTGCTCACCTAACATTTGAAACTTGCAATACAATAATTAAACTTTTAGTTCGTTTTCAATAAAATCAGTTCCGTTACCTCCCATTAATTTTTGATGATGTGACACTTAATTCTCGTTAACTTCCCTCCTCCCCCTTCTTCTTCTTTTTCTTCCTCTATCAAAATCCCAAATCTTAAATCCAAATAAAATAGGAGAATTCGACTCAAGAATCCCAAAACCTTCCCCTATAAATCCTAAAATTCGTCCCTAATTTCCATTGAGAAACAAGGTGCTTCAACTTTATTCTTTCCAGCTATATGGAGCAAGCTCGACAATTAAAAATCGTCCCTGATATCCTTCACGAATCTCGTGGTCAAGGTAGACAGTCTCAAACCTATACAGAATCTTAAGATCAGTAAAATATTTGTTTGCTTCGTCGAAAAGAACGGGGAAATATACGACAAAGAAAGCCCATAACAAATTTTCATAAATCACAATAAAATTTTCCTGTTGAATGAAACAATGAAACTTAAAAACATTAGTAGTAAACATGTTTCTATAGAATTGCAATTCTAAAAAAACTCAAAGGAGGAATGGACATGATTAGCTAATGCTAAACTTGGAACCCAGATTTCCAAATGTAAATCAAGACCTAAAACTATTTGCTGCTGTAAAACAAACTAAAAATTAAAAGCCAAAAGTCTGAATCACGCAAAGCCATGGACTTTTACAGAAGAAGACCAAAAGTTTGAATCACGCATAGCCATGGACTTGAAGAAGAAGAAGAAAAAGAAGAAGATGATGAGGAGCTAACGAGACTTAAGTGTCGCATCAGTAAAAATTGACTGGAGATAATAACAAAGACCTTATTAAAAATTAACTAAAAGTTTAATAATTGTATTATTAATTTCAAAAGTTAAGTGATCAAAATACAAATGTTTTGGGGACTATTTATATACTTTACCTTACCTATAATATAAGATAATTGATTTTTCTTTAGGAAAAGGGTTTTTTTCTTTATGGAAATGACTCATTTTACCTATGATACACATATATTATTAGAATTTTAATTTATCTCGAATTAACTTTTACTACTGTACAAATGCACAATTTGTTCTACCATTCACTTTTTTTGCAACTTATCTTTCACCACATGTAAAAAGGTTAATTATAAAATTTAATAATTTAATATATTTAAAGTTTTAAAAGTTTTTTAATTTCTTATATATTTATTTTATTTTTAAATAATTAAAATTTTAATTTATTTAATTGATTTCAATATGATACTAGATAAAAAAAATTTTATAGAAACAACTAATTTTATTCAAATAGAAAATATCACAAATTATAATAAATATTTACAATCACAATCGTAAATTAAACATTTAGTTAAGAAAATTTCCTGTAATCATTGAAACAAAACTAATAACTTAAGATCACATAACGACCATACAAGAAAAAAATTAAATTTAATCAAGAAACAAGACTACATAATTTTTAGTAAACATTGTTGATGTAATGATGCGTAAATATACTATGCTTCTACATATTTTTCCCCTCATAATTTGTAGTGTATCTTGTTATGTATGCGGTTAGATTGTGTAAGATTTATGATTGTTAGTAGAGGAACTTATGTATTTAATTTTTAGCGGAGCGGTAAAGAATATAAATATTTATCAAACATATGTTTGACTTTAAATACGTGAATTATAATTATTTTTATATAATAATATTATCATCATTTAAAAACAATAATATAATATTTTCGTAACGAAAAAATATAAAATCACACCAACTCAATTATTAAATTTTATATAAATAGTATACATAGATTTATGCATTTTCACTTCATATGTAAAAAACCACAAAGTAAAAAGTATTCCAGGCAAATTTCACCAGTTATTACTACACGATTGTAACACTGCCCTTGTAATGATACCTTCGAGCTCCAAACATGAAGAAGACAAAGTTGAGCAAAGAAATCCCAGCTATCAAGAAGTAAAATTTATCCAATTTGCTCGTGTTTATGTCATCCGTCAACCAGCTGGTTCCATCTCTCCCCGTAACATCATCAACAATAGCGATCACCCAGTTGCTCGCGTAACTCGCCAATGAAAACGTCAAGTAAATCAGTGAATTCCCAATGCTTCTCATATTCTCAGGGAACTGTCTGTTGTAAAACTCGATGAGTCCCACGATACTGAAGATCTCCGAGAAGCCAATAAGGATGAGCTGCGGTGCTAACCACATGACCGACATGGGAGAAACTCCGTCTGCGCCACCGTGGGAAAGGGCCGAGCTTCTTCGTTTCATTTCGATGAGTCCCGAAACCAGCATCGTTAGGACCGAGAAAAGGTTTCCGATCCCCATCCGTTGAAGGACCGTTATCCCGCCTTCGAGTTTCGTGATTTTCTCGATGGCTGGAACCAGGACTCGGTCGTAGAACGGTAGCCATATGGCGATGGCGATGAGTGTAACGATGCCGATCGAACCGGCGGGGATTTTAAAGAGGGAACCGAATCTGAGGTCCATTTTTAGGGCTTGGGCGACGGTGAACGTACCTTGTTGATTCATGGCGAGGAAGCCGAGGATGCTGGTTAGCCATATTGGGATGATGTTTAAAAGGCATTTAACATCTTCGACTTGTTGGATAGTACATAACCGCCATGGATTTACACATGAACCATCTGAGTTCACTTCATCAGCCATCACTAGAGCCGATTTGTTTAAGAAACTGATGAATATCCACAATAAAATAGTTTCTTTTTAGTTTCATTTCTTAAACAATCTATATACACACGCGCGCGCATAAAGTAAGAAATAAATGCATTACCTGTACTGTGTAGTGAGATGAAGTTCTTTAACCCTAAGCAAGCTTCTCGTCAATAGAGGATCATAGAATCGGTCACCAACTCCGTCGACCGGAAGATAAAGCCGACGTTTTCTATAAGCAACGACGAAAACTTGTGCGACACCGGTGAAAATACTTCCTTCCGGCCTTATGTACACGTAAACTTTTGTTCCGATGAAGAACAAAACGATTGAGAAGATCATGCAAAGCGTTGGGATCCCAAACCCTAACGCCCAGCTAACATCATTTTGGATATAGACGACAATAGTTTGAGTGATCATCAAGACGATTGTTTGAGTGGTGTAGTATAAATTGTAGAAACTGTTGTTTCCTTTCCGGCCTTCTTCCGTCGTCAAATCGAATTGATCGACACTGAAGGGAATACAGCAGGGTTTGATTCCACCGGTGCCGATGGACAACCAGCATAAGCTGGCGATCAGAACGCCAAGTTGCTCGTTATTGTAGGGCATGCATTGGCCGTGTTTAAGTTCTTCGCCGGTGCAAGGCGGAGGCCGCAGCCACGGTAATAAAGCTGTTAACGTCATGATCATCATTCCCTGCCAATTGGTGGGTTGAAAATTGAAATCGATGTTAAGAACGGTGTTAAAATTACAGGAAATATATAAAATATTAAGAGATACATGTACCAATAGAGATGCAAAGGATCCAAGAACGATGGTCCAAAATTTGCCGATGAATGAATCGGAGACATACGCTCCAACAACCGGCGCAAAGTTCGACGCGCCTGACCAGGCGTTAAGGATGGTAGCTGCCTGAATCTGGTTCATGTGATACTCCCTCTGTAGGTACACCATAAAATTCGCCATCAATCCGTACGACGCAAGTCTCTCGAACGTTGCATTTGCTGCAACCGTAAATTGAAAACGAAAACGTTATTATATACGAAGAAAATATTTAAATTATATAACAAATTTTGTAAATTAAATACGATAATTACATCACCTAATACGAAAGGAACAGCTTTCCATCCTGCAGGCCTTCTATGATTTGAACAAGAGCCGTTTTCTTCATCTGAAACAGGAATCAAGCTGCAGGTATCGGGAATTTTCCTGCCAGTCTCGTCCACCATTTTTGTTGAATAAGAAACTCAGACGATAGTGATGAAATTAACTCAGGTATATATATATATATATATATTATAACAGATAGAGAAATAGAATGAGGTATTGAATAAGTTACTGATTCAAGAGGAACAAAATCTTGGATTTGATTTTGTATTTGTGTTCTTTATTTGGTGAACAGAACTCACTTGGATTCTTTTGGATTTGTTTTTGTATTTGTGTCTGCGTATATTAATTATTTATAATTGAATTAATTAAACGATCTAACTTCTTAATAAAGATGTGATCATGGATATCAAGACCCAGCCGATACTTCTCTGTATTCATTCATTCATTACAAACTACACACACCTGGACTAATTTAAAATTATTTTCTATTTTTGGTTTTAGAATTTTATTCGTTTCGAAATTGATAAAAGAATTATTCATTAACATGAAAGCTAAACTAAATAATGATTTACAAGTAAACTTTAAAAATATTTTCAGACGATCTAAATTATTTTTTTCTTTGACATAAATTTAAGACTCAAATTTAAGTTTTTAAATTGTTTATATAATAAATTCGACTTTTTGATTTTTTTTATTAATCTAGGGTATTTATAAATGGTATTATTTATTCTAAAAATTCACCCATTTAACAATGAACACTCAAATATTATGTTATCTCTCGTGCTTGAACTAATACCTCTAAAAGTAACAATAATATTTTTAATTATTGAGGTAATTTGGTTCGTGTAAATGATTTTTTTGAAATACGATAATCTTAAGTATACGTTGATACGACATATTAGTTGGGTTATCCTTTAAAAATCTACAATCAAATAAATTATTGAAACAATGCATCTCAACTGACTTATATATAATGTACATTAAAGTGTTAACGTGAGAACTTTCCATTGATTGTTGAGAATTTTGATGTGATAACATATGATTGATGAAAATGTATTTTTTTAAATAATTTTAAAAATTACAAAAAATAAAAATAAAAACTATTAGAAACAAGAATATCTTTTTTAAATTTCTAAAATAACATAATAGTATATAAAATTATTTTTTAATTATAAATAATTCAAGCGTCATTTTACTTTCAAATAATATTCCTTAATCTCAAATAAAAGAAATAGTAAATTAACGTAGTAGAGAGAAAAAAGGGTTGATCCACATGGACTTTAAAGCTTATGGTATAATAGGCTTTTGATTCTGATTTGGGCGAAAATTACCGTAAATTAACGATAGTCTCTCGAACGTTGCATGCTAGGTTACCGAGAGGAACTAACTTACTAAGGTGTCGTTCGTGGTGGTCTGATAAGTAATCGATAACATGCAACCTTGTAACTTGTTTTTCTCTCAGGTAAACGATAATCCAAAATCAATCTTTGGATCTCAATCCTTATTTGGACTAACGACGACTATCGTCGTTAGCGCCAACTCATTTTAAAATTTGAAAAAACATGACCTGGGCTATGTTGTCTCAATGAGAATCGAACTTGATCTCAATTTCTCTTAACAGACTGCCACTAAGTGTATTCCCAGGAAGTCGAACTTGCTACCAGCCGATTCAACTTTAAATCGAAACAACAATCAAGTCAACGTGCACATTTTGAAATGAAAACATTTTGATTTTAAAGGAAATATCGATTGTCAATCCAAGTTGCAGAAATTTGAGAATATAACTGATAACTCTATAAAAAGGCTATATTTAGGGATTTTTCAATTAAGTTGTTGGTTATCTTAAGGCGTATATAGGGTTATTTAAATGCATATAGGAGCATATAACTGTATTTAGTGGTTTGGCTTTATCGTGGTATATTATTGTGTAAATTATGTTATTTTATGGGGAAGGTTTGTGCTTTGTTGGTTATGTGCAAGTCGATAAAGCAGAGGGTAAGCATAGAGAATTGTCATGGCAATTTGGGATGACTCATGTACATAGAAAAGATAAAAACGAATAAGATAATTTCATATGAGCTGCCAACTATCCAACAATCATGTGTTATGTGTTGTTAACCACCTTGGAGGACATCACTACCACATTTGTACCATAATTCATATGAGAGGAATATACCTTAGGGTACTATGAGAATTTTTGCACTAAAACCTAGGATATTCCCCTAGTATAAATAGAAAATGTGGCCATTAAAATAAAGAATGATTCTTGAAAGGAAATAGTGAGCTAAGCAAGATGACTAGAAAGCTGCCAACTTTCTTTCCCCTTTAATATTTTCGAAGGGTTCCTCTATAGTCAAGCTCAAGGGAGTGGCATGCTAGGTTACCGAGAGGAACTAACTTACTAAGGTGTCGTTCGTGGTGGTCTGATAAGTAATCGATAGCATTTGTTGGGAGTGTCCTCCACCCTTATACTTTATTCTTCTTTTGATTTATTGGGTTGTATGGTTTGAAATATTTTCATGGATGTTTCGAACCCCACCATGAACTAAACTTTATTTGGTGTGTGTTATCATGGATAATTAATTTTTTACTTTAATGAATGATTTGAGTTGTTTGTGTTTATCTATTTGTTTTGCTCATTATGCTTAATTACTTAAGATTGTAGGAGGCATGAGAGTGTCCATTTCTTAAGTATACTACTTAGTGTTCGAGAGAAACAAGGTTTAAGATCCTAAGTGTTCGATAGAAACTAAAAGAGGATCTACGTGAGCAACGGGTTTTAGCTGTCAACTAGAACCTAATCCACCTTAGAGATAAGGCTAGGATTTTAGCAACTAAAAGGAGTAGTGCAGATTCGATAGGTTCGATATTATTGTTTACGTCAAGAGGTATTACAGTGGTATTTGTATATGTCAAGTTCCTTGACTCGAGAGAGCGTAAGGACACTATTACTAAACTCTATCGAGCAAATATACCTAGAAGCTTGAATCATTCTGAAAAGTGAAACTTAGGATTCCTAGGTAGCCCTACCATTTATTCCTATAGTAGCTTGTCGTGTGAGGATTATCAAGTTTGCTTACTTATTTCTGAATTCTCAACTCATTTTGCATTGACATTTTTAGTTTTTTACATTTCAAATACATCTTTACTTGCCATGACATTTTCATCACAATTCACCATCACATTTTCACAACACCATCTACACACATATCATTTTCCCACATCATTCTCAATTGTGCATGCCACAACACTAACTATACTTAGATAATTTAGTATTTGTGCTCTAACTTAACTAGAAATTTCCTCCTATCCTTGTGGTAACGATCCTCACTCACTCTTTAATACTTGTGTGACTGTGTATACTTGCACATATTTTACGTCCAATTTATAGTACTCACGACACGCAACAAGTTTTTGGAGTCATTACCGGGGATTGACAATTGGAAGTTTAATAGTTTGTTATAGCATTTTCATTTTACTTATTCATTTCTAGTATAGTTTTATTTGTTATTTTCTTTGTTTTTCTTTGTCAGGTTTTGCCATTGCATGACTAGAAGAACTATTGAGGAACCTCTATATCCTTTAATACCTGAAATTGAACATTTGTTCTGATGAAGACGATGTGCTCAACGTGAATAGTTCAAGAAGTTTGTTAACATTCTCGACCGACTATATATCAATGTCTCACTTATAGAGGTAATTGATCAGATACATACCTATGCCAAATTTCTCAAAGAAATTGTCACCCAAAAGAGAAAAGTTGAGAAGTATGAGACAATTGCCACGGTAAAAGAATTTTGCTCTTCATTGAGCCAGTTGTCCCTGAAGCAAAAAGATCCGAGTAGCTTTATCATTCTATGTTCTATATGAGACAACTATGTTAGGAAAACACTATGTGATTTAGGATCAAGTGTAAATTTGATGCCCAAGTCAATATTTTTTAAGCTTGGGATGGGAGATGCGAGACCCACATTTGTTATTTTGTAACTAGCCGATCGTTTCCATGTCTGTCCCGAGGGAATGAACGAATATGTCATAATGAGGGTGGACAAATTCATATTTCCAGTTGATTTCCTTATACTTGATTGCGAGGTTGATTCTAATGCACCCATAATTTTGAGGACGCCTTTCTTAGCCACGGGTCGCATCCTCATTGATTGTGAGAAGGGTGAGCTCCCCATGCGAGTAGCCCAATTAAAGTATGATCGTGAATGTCTTTCGTTCTCTCAAGTATGTGGATGATTCTGAAGAATTTCAGATCATTCTAGAAACAAATTCAATGATAGAAGTGGAAGCATAACAACTTTGCCACAACAATTTCATTCAACTGAATGATTATGAAAAACTCACTGAAAAGGACATCAATAAGAAGGCCGAGGACTTTCCATTTGAGATACAACAATCTAATTTACTTTCAGCTAGACCAGGTATATGTTTTGAACCTCTTGATTTCGATGAATTTATTCCTCCTAAGCCCTCACTACAGTATGCACCTATCTTAGAGCTGAAAACTTTGCCATCACATCTTAAATATGTTTATTTAGGTAGTAATGAAACATAACTGGTGATTATCTCTTCTAGTTTTATGCCTGAACAGGAACGAAGTTTGCTAACTGTTTTGTCACATCATAAGAAAGCATTAGGTTGGGCTATGGTAGACTTGAAAGGGATACGTCCTACTATTTGAATGCACAAAATTCAGATAGAAAAATGTCATAGCAATTCCATTGAGCCACAGAGAAGATTAAACCTGGTCATGAAGAAAGTGGTGATGAAGAGGATTATCAAGTCGCTTGATGTTGGAGTTATCTACTCAATATCCAATAGTTCGTGGGTGAGCCGGTGCAATGTGTCCCCAATAAAAGAGGGACGATCGTGGTGAGCAATGAAGACAATGAGATTTTACCCACACACATTATTACTATATGAAAGATATGTATGGATTACCGTAAACTTAATAAGACTGCCAAAAATTACCATTTTTCTCTACCTTTCATTGATCAGATGCTTGATCAATTGGTTGACAAAGCATACTATTGCTTTCTAGATGTGTATTTGGGATACAACCAAATTGCCATAACACATGAGGACCAGGATAAGACTACATTCACATGCCCCT